TAAGTTATATGAATAATATTAATCTAGTCTACAGTTCAAAAACAATCAAAGAGAATTTAGAAGTGATTGAAAAAGCAGTAAAGAAAATCTTTGTTAGAGCAGATATCAATTAAATTCAATTTAATATGAATAAAACTGAGTTAATTCATTTCTTTTCTAGATTCAATAAGAAAGAACTATATCTAACTCTTTTAAATAAAGAGATTAAACCCAGTTTGAATGTCAAATAATTAGAAGTATGATTAAACTTCAAGTTGAATTTTCAATATCATATTCAACAAAGAACTATCAAGATAGAATGACTATTGAATAGTATAATCAGACTATTAAATACAGAGAGAGGTCTAGACTGACCGTGTGACCGTGTCTGAGACCAGAACCAGATTTTTTGATAGTCTCATTATCAATTTGACTGATTTCATTACACAGTTTTAACATTCAATAGTAGTCTCATACTGTCTCAGTGAGACTTACTGTCTACTCTTATTACATTTTTCAAATGAGATCATGATTTTCACTTCTCAATTTAAATTATTTTTATTGCTTTAAATAACTTTAAATCTCATTTGAGTGTTACTAAAAAGCATTACTTTTTAAAAAATTAAAAATTGTCTAACAAAAATCTTAAAATGTCTAAAAATAGTAACTTTATACCAAGAATGAGACTAAATGGGATCAAATGAGACCACTTTCTCATTTTTTTCAAGTCATGATTTCATTTTAAGATCTCATATATGATCACTTTGCATGTTTTTTTAATGACTAGTCCCAGCGGGATTCACACCAAAAAATGTATGAGATCAGACCAAATGAAACCAAACGTGAAATTCATGGTCCCGGCGGCCAGTCTAGAGAGGTCTATTCTTTCAGACTATGAAACAGTTATATATAGTCTGTATTATCTCAGTAGCTGATTATGAAGTTTAAGTTTGATGAAATAATCAAGAAAATTTCACTGAACTCTTTCAAAGTCTGTAAAACAGAGCTTTGAGAAGAATTCTGAGAGTATTTAAATCATCTTCTATTAAAGTAATGAAAATTGAAGCCTTAATTCTTTCTTCTGTTATTAGATTTGAAAAGGCCTGTATGAACTATGCTCTGAGAGTTATAAAGATGAGCTTAAATTATATAATCAGAGAAAGAGTCTCTTCTTCATTTTCATCAATTAACTCAGAAAATAAACTGAATTGAAATAGATTTCTTGATTAAAATGAAAATAATTCTTCAAAGAAAATGCTCTCTTAACTATACAAACTATACTCACTGATTAAAAATTAATTTTCTTCATTAAATATTGAAAAAGTTGATCATGAGAAGATATCTCTCTGAAGAGAAAAGCTTGAATCTCTCATAGACTTGCAAATAAATGAACTATCTAAAGAGAGAGAATATGAACAGCATTTGAAGAGAATCTCTATAATTAATATAAAAGACTCTATTCTGATTTATTTGAATGACTCAAAAGATGAGAATTTGAATAGATTAGATCAGGCATTGCTTATACTGAAGATAATATCAATTTTATCTCAGATTTCTGAAATTTAGACTGTGAATCTGAAGTCTTTGATACTGAACTATTTACAATAGTGAAAGCTTTCAAACTCATTGAAATAAAATCTTATAAAAGAGAAAACAGTTTGAAAGAGATATAAATATTCTCTGATAGTCAAACTGCTTTAAAAAGACTTAGAAATAGTCAGATTCATAATAATCAAATGAATCTTAAACTGATTTTAAACTCTGTTTTAAAAATTCAAAAGAGAAGAATATTAAAACTGATAATTCATCTATACTGAGTTTCTACTCATATGAATATTCATGACAATGAATTGACTGATTCAGCTGCCTCAGTGACTGAATGATTAATGCGGCCACCTGATAGTGTCTTGACATGGGAAACCAAGATGTGTGAGTTTGAAACCCGCAGAGAATACATTAAATCTGAAACTCAAGCATCTCAGATTTCTAATAAATACAGAGATGTACAAATCACTTCAACAAATCACTCTATGTTTCTGAGATGAGAAGTTATTATCGCATGTATTTAATTGTCACTTATTTATATTTCCTATGTTCTTGTTATCTTGGTTAGACTGGCCGCTGAAATCATGAATTTCACATTTAGTTTTATTTGATCTGATCTCATACATTTCTTGGCATGAATCTCACTGAGACTAGTCATTAAAAAAACATGCAAAGTGACTATATATAAGATCTTAAAATGAAATCATGACTTGAAAAAAATGAGAAAGTGATCTTATTTGATCTCATTTAATCTCATTCTTAGCATAAAGTTACTATTTTTTGACATTTTAAGGTTTTTTTTAGACTATTTTTAATTTTTTAAAAAGTAACACTTTTTGATAATGCTTAAATAAGATTTAAAGTCATTTAAAGTAATAAAAATAATTTAAATTGAGAAGTGAAAATCATGATCTCATTTAAAAAATATGATAAGAGTAGACAGTAAGTCTCACTGAGACAGTATGAGACTACTATCTAATGTTAAAACTGTGTAATGAAATCAGTTAAATTGATAATAAGACTATCAAAAAATCTGATTCTGATCTCAGACACAGTCACATAATCAGTCTAATCTTAATATAATCTTAATACCTGTATTTCCTTCTATATAATCAACACTTGACCTGTATTTAACATCACGCAAGAACTTATCATAAGTAGACTGACCGTGTGACCGTGTCTGGGACCAGGACCAAACTTTACAGTTGTCACATTGCCTAAAAGCATTACTTCTGGTCATGATTTGTGTTCATTACATTGATCTCAAATCACGTTATTTCAAATATTAAAGATCTCAGATTCACTTTTCAAATAAAAATCTAGTTCTGAATAAAGAATATGTTTGAATTCTTAGTCACATTTTCATTCTGATCTCATTATTGAGAATGGCATCAAATGAAATCATGAAATCACTTCTCACTTACATAATATCATAACATAGTGCTCATTTGTTGAAAATTCAACAGAGAGTGTTATCAAATATTATTACTTTTCTGAACACAGATCATAATTCATATAATTTTAATTATGAAAAAAATATAAAATACAAAAAAAAAAATAAAAAACAAAAAATAAAACAAAAACAAGAAAAAATCAGAATGAATGAAAAAAAAAAAAAGAAAAGGAAAAGAAAAAAACAAAAAATAAAAACAAAAAAAATCAAGGTCACAGAGTCACAGCACTCTTAAAATACTCACTTCTCAGAGTCTTCACAATGTTTATCATCAATCATGTATTTCTCACAGTGAGAGTAATATGACTGTGATGAGTCATTGTCTTAATATCATCTAATAAATAATCAGTATATATCTGTATAAATGTGAATATTTAGAAAATATACACTTAAAAAGTGTGACCAGGGTGAACTCTGCTGCCACTTGAATAACATCAAGGACAGAACACTGAAATTGATGATTCTTCTCATCAATTTCACAGACAAGGTGAGTGAAGATGATCTTGAAGAATATAAGATTCTCTGACTTCTGATAAAAATGAATCTCACAGAGAGACTCTATTTTCATGATATCAGAGACTGAGTGTTATCAAAAAGCATTACTTTCATACAATGTATATACACTTACTGCAATGATTCATTCTCTGCATATATAACTGAGAGTTGCAGCTTTCTCACATCACACAGCTCTCTCTGAGATGCTGGCACTGGTTTGCAACTCACACAGCCTCTCAGTTCAGCATGCGCTGCGCATATGCAGCCCTGCGTGCTGAGGCTGTGTTGGTTATTATGGCCTGGCGTGGTACTCGCTTTTCGCGGGCCATGTTTTGTTTGGGGGGGGAGAAGAAAGACACAACTGTGATTTTATTAAGAGAGAATGAATAATTAGTAATATTGAATATAATTTAATTCTTCTGCATTTAAAATTTGATTAGTCTATACTCTTTAATTTGAGAGTTTCTAGAAGTGTTTTAATAGTTTTCATACCAGCTTGAATTTAGTGATGAGTTGAAGAAGAAGAGAAAAGAGAGAAGAAAGAAATGAGAATAACTTATCTTTATAATATGAAAACAGAGAATTGCTGCAATCATTCTCTCTAGTAACAAAGATCTGTTTTCTGCATGTATCTCTGATATAGATTATATAATAACTGTATACAAAGAATATCAACACTGCATGTATTGAATGAAGATGATGTTGCTATGCAACACTGTAGCTGTTTCTGTATATCTCTGAAAGCTGTTAATATTTTCTTTGTCTCTTTATATTTGATAAGTCAGTAATATATTTCAATGCACTTTCTCTTTCATCATCATCATCATCATTATCATTATTATCATTATCATTATCACTATCATTATCACTATCATCATCATCACTATCATCATTATCATTACTATTATCATCATCATCATCATCATTATATCATTTCTGGCCGCCTCTTCTGCTTTCACCTCTCTTTAACACTCACTGAAATTAATCATGTCATTCTTCTTCAAATATTCTGCAGTTCTGTGGATCATCAAGGCACATGAGCACTGTCATAGATTGAAGAAAGAGAAGAAGAAGATGTTTAAGTGAGAGAAGACTGATTGTAAAGCATGTTATAATATCTTGAAGAGACTCTGTAAGAAAGTAGAATGATAACAATTTTAAGTAACACTTCTGATAGATTTAGACTGAACTAAGTATAGGAATAATGTGAATGACACTGTCTGTGAGAGATTGAAGAAGAAGACAGTGAAGAGTCTTATGCAGTAGTGATGAGATCAGAAGAAGTTCTGAGAATGATTTGAGTTCAAGATAAAGAGAGAGAGAGAGAAGAAGAGTATTACTGTAAATAAGCAGTGACAGAAGAAGATTGAGAAGGTATTAAAGTAGGAGACAAAGAAGTCAAAACTGATAAGTTTTTTATTTATTAAGAGATAATGATTTTTAATAATACTTCTGTTCTCTAATTGATTAGCAGGAGCTGACAGAGGAGAAGAGGATTGAGGCCTTGTTCAGGTCTTGAATGCACTCCATGATTCAGAATATTGAGGAGACAGCTCTGCTCTCTGAGCATGTCAATCTGCTTACTGCTGAGATGGAACCCAAGGCAGCAGATCAGGAAATGCAGGATTTTGAGGTGCAGATTGACCTGGCTGAGAGGGAGCAGCAGAAACCCTTCTCTGAGAAGGCAGTGAAGAGAGATTTTGAGGTGATTATCACCTCAGAGAAGGAGGAGAAGAAGAAGAAGAAGAAGAAGAAGAAGAAGAATGAGAAGTGAATTATGAAGAATGATAAGAAGAATGAGAAAGAGAAGAAGTAGATTTTTTTCTTTTTATATTAGTTAGTTGTAAGTTTAAGTTTTTAATTATTAATAATTAAAATTGATTTTAAGTTTTCAAAAATTATTGTACAAGTTGTAATCAAGTCAGAAATGATATATATATATATATATATTTAACTATCATGATTCACAAATCACTATAATGTATAAGTATCAACATTTTTTCAACATTGATATTCACAATATTAATATATTTTTAATAATATCATCTGATAATACAATTTGATAACACTCTCTTTCATAATATTAATATATTTCAAGAAATATGACAGAGATTAATCAAGATTGTTTATTTACTTTTATACATCAATAATATTCAATCTGAGTTAGTACTAAAATTATAACTAAGCTAAGAAATAAGATTATTTTCTCTTATATTAATTCTTCTTACACACATCAGTGATCAGTTATTGAAAATAAATTATCATCTTTTACAAATTATTATCATGTCTTCTGAATTCACTTCTTTTACTTCTTTTACTTCTATTGAAGATTCACAAACTCTTCAAGAAATCACTGTGAATTACAAAGTCTACATTATTTACAATTCAATACAGAATGCTCTCTTTCAATCATGATAAATGATCACTTCATTCTTCACATCTGATTCCAGGTCATGAAATTTATGAAAAACTCAATACAAACACTGAGATAATCTATGAAATAATTATCAACAGATTGTATTGTAGATTACTGAAGAGTTATCTCTCTGCTGCAATCACTGCAACTTCATTCAGAAATATTCATTATAAACTGATCATGACTCTGAAGAAATTTTCTGACATCTGAAGTCATCAGAATACAGACAATAAAAGAAAAATAATCAGAAAATTACTACTGAGCTGATAAGTTGCTCTATCAGATAATAATTTTTAATAACACTAACTTTCTAATTTGAAGAAAATCATGTGAAAATGATCATGTATCAGTACTCTGATTTCACAACTCTCATCTGATAACTTTCATGAATAATTACTTTATATATGTATATCTCTGAATCTTTCTCTTCAATCAATTGAAAATCCTGAATTCTGAACACTTCTTCAAATGCTTAATTTAAATCTTCATATTTCACATCAATTCTGTCTTCAGTTCAATCTCAAGATACACTACAAAGTCAATATGCAATATCTAGAATCAGAGTTGAAGAATCATTGAAGAGTGTCTCTCACAGTGAATGCATGAACTAGTACAAACAATCTTACATTTATAAGAGTTATATGTTATTACATTGATGAGAACTGAACTTATCAAGAGATATTAATTGAATTTGAATCATTGATCAGTAGTCATACTGAGGATTATATAACAGAGGTATTAATAACTGTGATTAAAAATGACTATTGAGATATTAGTCTCAGTCTTCTTATAATTACAACTGATAATGCTGTGAATAACTACACTATGATGAAGAGCTTGGAGCAAAAATTGGCTTTGCATTTCTGAAATGATAAACAAGGTTATATTCTCTGCATTGCTCATGTGGTTCAACTTGTGATGCAAACACTGATAAAGAATCTTAACATTGAGATGAAGAATAATGAGATGGCTGATTCTTGAAATGAGAATGAGATGAAAGTGATTACTCAAGTAACTTTTACATCTACTTTGCAAAAGATAATGTTTTTTAACAACACTTTTTGATATTACTTTTTAATAATGCTTTTTGATAACACTACTGTTAATTTTGAATAGATTGACTAATAATTTAAATATCACAGATTTAAAACATTGCTAATGTGATTTGTATCTCCTCTAAACAATAACAATGATTTCATGATATTTAATAAACAAATAAATCAGTCACATCACTGAATATGATACAGAATGTTAGAACACAGTGAAGTTCAATATATGAGATAACTGTTCAGACTCTTCAATTATGTCAGATGATTGATCATTGAGTGCAACACTCTGATCAGAAAAAGATTCAGATATTGAAACTTTCTGATATGAAGTGAACTCAGTTGAAATATATGATTGATTTACTGTTTCAGTTTTATAAGACAATAAAGACAGTCTCAATCACTTGTACACCAATGCTGCAGTCAGTCTGATGAGTGTATAACAGTTTATTTACTCATCTTGAGAAGCAGTTGAATCACTTAAAAAGAAATTCAGTCTGGGATGATGTTATAGCGCAGGCTATTATTACTGTAAGAGATAAACTAGTATATTACTACAGCAAAACTGAACAATCTTTTACAGAGTACTATGCTGTAGCAGCTCTACTAGATTCCTCTCATTAAGTTAATATCTACACTTCTCAAGATTGAACAGAGAAGGAATAAGACTCATATATTAAATTAGCCTGAGACTACTATAATGCTAACTATCAGAGATTTGAATGAGCAGATGTTTGAGATGTGAAGACAGTGAAATACAATTCTCTAGTAAGTAACAATCTTTGATAACACTTCATATCTCATAGAACTATAATACTAACTTTGAAACAGAACTTGCATACATTGATTGCAACTGAAAATCAGGCAAAACTACATGCTTGTAAAACTGAATTTGACTGCTATCTTCAAGATGATCTGACAAATTTACATGCCAAATCAATTCTAGAGTTATGAAAAATTGTTGAGAGTACATATTCAACTGTTGCACTGATGACATGTGATATTCTGATAATTTCATTGACAGAGATGAGAATGAAGTGAAAGTTCAACTCAAGTCAAGATATTTATCACTATCATCAGAGACAATTACAAGAAGAAACAATCAAGAAACTCATGATTATAAAACATGAAATTATCAGATAATTTAATACCTCTGATTACAGTATATCAGAGAAGTGTAGTTTTCATGAGAAAGTGAAGAATAAACTTACACAAGAATGTATTTAGTTGTTTCATGAGTGTTATCAATAATTGTTACCAAATTCTGATTATATAAGCAATCACTGAATAAACTGAATAGAACTGATTTTAATCTTCAGTCTCAGTCTCATTCTGATTTTAGAAGAATGATCATCTTTCACAGTTTATCCTGAGAAATTACTCTCATTTCACTGTTCTTGAATTAAATCTGGTCATTTTTCACACCATTTCTCTCAGAAATGGTCCATTTTCAGATTTTTTTGAGGCTTGGTCCTGGTGGGACTCACGCCAAGAAATGTATAAGACCAGACCAAATGGGATCAAATGTGAAATTCATGGTCCCGCCGTCTAGTCTAATCATAAGCTCCGCTTGTATATAAGTATAATGAAAGAATAATAATAATAATAATGACTGATTCAGCTGTCAAAAAGGGTTCAGAATTAAGCAGATCTATTTAAAAAATAGTATTCTACTCTTTTATAAAGAGAAAGATAAAAGAATCTTATTTAAACAAGTGAAATGAAAGCTGGCTGAAACAAAAGAAGAGTATATATTATTCAATATTTAAAATAAAACTCAAGTGAAAATCTTGTTTAATTAAATATAAAAAGAAAATATTCTCATCTATAATTCAGCTGAAACTAGGACATGATTATTTTAAATCTTATATATAAAGATTTGATAATATATTTAATTTAATAGAATGCTTATTCTGCAATGCAAATGAAAATCCTGAGTATATTATAATACACTGTGTATTATACAATAGTTTCAGAGTCAGATTGAAAGAGAAGTATGATCTAAATTAATTAAATATAAGATTCTTATTCTCAACTGAGACAGGAATTAAATACTTAATAGACTTTCTATCAGAAACTCAAGCAGTTACAAGTAAATAACTAAATTCAGAAATATTTGAATATGAAAAGAAGGAAATTGATCAGATATAGTCTGTTAAAACAGCTATACACTATCTTTTAATAATTTATTTTATTATAGTCTCTCTTTACTTTACTTTTTCTTTTCTATTCTTTTTTATCTATCTATTTAATATGTCTATCTTTAAGATTATATTCTCTTTTCTTTTGTCATAATATTATCAAATGATTTCAAACTATCAGAAGATGTTAAAATACTGTAATTATAAACAGTTTTTATATTCTGAGCTGGAATTTTCTGATTTTGCATATCTGAAATTGATAAATGTATAGTAGTTGACTTTATAGATATAGGAAAAACCCTGAGAACTAAAAGTTCTCAGGTAGATGTCATAGTCTCTGACTGCATATATCTATAATTAAAGAATAATAATAATAATAATCACTTACTGAGACTCACTTACAGATAATCTTGATAAACTTATAAGAGTATACTATAGAGTGTAAAAATATGTGTAAACAGACTGAGAGAATTCAGAATATTCAGAAAAAAGCCTGTGAATTCTTGAGAAAGACTCAAGAGTATTAAAAGAGATACTATAACTCTAAATATATTACAAAGAGTTTTAAGAAAGATGATAGAGTCTGACTGAGTCTGAAAAATATTATTATATAAAGATCTAGTAAGAAGCTGAATTTCTTACAGACAGAGTCTTATAAAATTATTAGAAAAGTTAACTTACAGTTCTATAGATTAAAACTATTATCTGAGTTATAGATATAAAATATTTTTTATATCTCTTTACTCTGTAAATATAAGAAATTCTTAGAAGAGAACTCTGTGACTTATCATTCTGTTTATAAAGTATTAAAGAGTGAAGGAGAATATCAAATTAAAGAGATTATTAACTTAGAGAAGTGAGATTATAAGCTCTGATTCAAGATTCAGTAGTAAGAATATTCTAATAAGATAAATAAGTTTATTTAAGAATTATTTAAGTAGATAAGATATCTGTGAAAGCTGAGATATGACTTTTATACTATGAATTCTGATAAGTCAGAATAATACAGTCTTTACTAAGAATCTGATTGTAATAAAGATATTAATACTGTTATTTATAAATTCTAGTCTATAAAGATAATGAGTTTCTACTAAAATAAACAGTTCACAGTATATGTAAAGAGAAGAAGAAATCATATTATTATTAAAGTTAAAAATAAAGAAAGATAAAA